GGGTTTAGGGTTTAGGGCTTATTCTACGAACGGTTCGCGCTCTGGAGTTACCAGGGCTTGACTAGAGAAATCTTTCAGACATGTTGTAATCCTAGTGCTGATGCGGGACTTTCTGAACATGAGTATTCTCACCGTTTGAAGGTTTAGGATCTCAAAATCATGGGGGGGCACCTACGTTTGGGGATACATTAGGGTTTAGGGTTTAGGGTTAGCAATAGGCCCTCGTCTCAGGAACAGCCCAAATAGGCTGCTACCAACCAATGTGACATCGAGCCTCATATGAGAAAGTCTAAGCTCCCAGCATCCCCCTTGTTAACCCCTATAATATAGGGCTTAGAGTTCAGGGTCTAAACTCCTAGTATCCCCCTTAGTAACCCCTATACTACTCCCCGAGACAATCCCCTAAATAGCACCCCTTTAAACAGTCCGGACTACCTCTCATGTAGGCGCTTTAAAAATGGACTGACGCATCTGGTTTGAGGACGGGTGAGGTAGCCCTTTGCCCGCAAGGACTCCCTAAACCCTAAACCCTGAACCCTAAACCCTAAACCCCTTAAAGCTGTGGCATCATTCTAAATGGGTTTAGTGTCTAAAGGTTCACGGTTTAGGGTTTAGCCGGTCTTAGAATCCCACCAAAAACTTTACTTTTCGGTTGTTATTAGGATTTTAAAAGCCCAAACATATAGAACCCCGCTAAAAAATCTGATTTTTGGTTAACCAAAACATAAAAAGTATCTTGGAGGCTCCTATAGCCTTGGAGATGCATTACACGGAGGTTTCCCAAAGTTGGGGGGGTACTAGCACCCCCAAGATAGTACTAAGGAATATAGTATTTGGGGGATTTGGGTGGGTCTATAATGTGGTCCCCTTTTTTTGGGGGAAAACTACCGAATTGAATGCAATTAGTAACTACGTATGCCAATTGAGAAAGAAGGCGCTTGCCATATCTCCAGACTTTTGCTTTAAGGATTAGGACATGCTGCCCTGCTCATACCCTGCAGCAAGCCTATGACTAAACCAAAAACCCCATGGAGTTCCTCAAGTCTCAGTGTCTGCACAAACAAAAAGGCGTAGGGCTTGCATATGAGGAGCCTCAGGTCAGTATCTCTGTCTCCTGCAAGGGGCCAGGATTTGAGCTATAGTCTCACCTCCTAGTTGCCCGCTTGATAACCTCTATAATATAGGGTTTAAGGTTTATAGTTTAAACTCCTAGTATCCCCCTTCATAACCCCTATAACCCCTATAGTAGTCCCCTGTATAAGCCCCCTTCGAGGAGTTTAGATTGTAGCTCATTTGGGCTAGAAGCTTGGGGCGATGCGTTGGTTAGCTTTGCCAAGAAAGCTGGCAACACAAACACCCTAAACCCTACTACGCAAAATCTGGCGTCCAAACCGAACACCAGAGGCTTTAACGCGGTGCCTCTGCACTGCCTTCGCTACGAAGTTCCAAACCCAAAAACTTTGCGCTTCACACTCTTTAGGGTGCACTAGCCCACATCGTGACCATTACCCTAGTGGATCCTGCAAAAAATCCCCTTCATAATGTTGAAGCTTAAAGATGAGAAGATGCTCTCCTTTCTCTCTAGTTGGGATCGTCCCCTTTTTGCATACCCAGGGGTCGGCCGGAAAGTAGTTGGTCACGAGAGCCCGCATGACATGCATGGCGAAGTTGTAGCCGCCTTCTCTCTTCATCACCTCCTCTTCTGTACGGTTTGGGGTTTAAAGATTTGGGAGTTTCCAACATTCTGGGTACCTTCAAGGGGGTTATATAGAGGTCTCCTCTCTGCGCGGCTTGGGGTTTAAAGGCTTAAATACACTCGTCCAAAGAAATGTGGAGCGTGGAGCCCTCCTTTGACTCTTTAACACGAAAATAATCTTTATAAGGCCACTTTTGGGCTTCGATATTCGATTGGGATAGATTGGGGTTTGGGTTGACAATGTACTGCAACTGTATGATTCGTTTGCGAAATCCATGTCCCAGCTTCCAAGACCACGATCCAGGGGCAAACGGCGGACATGACTTCGAACATGCAGGAAACCCACTGTAAACCAAGCAGAGGTCTGCTTCAAATTTGCCTGGCAAAGCTGGCCTACTAAACGTCAGGACCCCGTGAAGTTCAATAAAGGTGCAGCAACATTGGAGAAAGTCTGTCCGCTACCCTAAGCCCGAAGCCTAAGCACCATAAACCCCAGGTTTGTGGAACCACCGTATGAGCTATAGTCTAAACTGGTAGTATCCCCCTTAACAAGCCCAATAATAATCCCCTGTATAACTCCATCTAATGAGTTGAGACCCAAAACCGTAAACCTTAATCCCTATCCTACCCTAAACCCTAAACCCTATATGATCCCCTATATCTAGCCCCTTTTTAGGAGTTTAGACTATAGCACCTATGGTATATCTCTCAGGACAAGGGTCCTTGAGTTGAATCTGCCGGTTCTCCACCTCAAAGGCTTCGATGGTCCGGATTCTTGTGTCTTCACACTCTTCCTGCTCAAACCACTCGATATCCTCAGGGGCAAGTGGGCTATGTCCAGGACTAGGGTTTACTCCCTGGTGCTTCGGAGGGGATAGGGGAATGGATCATGGGGATCATTATTGGGGATCATATAGGGACTACTATAGGGATCCATTCCTCCACTCCCTCCTAAGCACCCGGGAGTTAAGGTTTTAGGGTTTGGGGATGTACCCCTGGTTCTTTAGAAGGGAACACGGGAATGGATTGCAGGGACTCCCTACTAAACACCTGGGTAGATTGTATGGATAAGTAAAGTCCTGGCATGGTCCAGGACTTTATTTATGGTTTAGGGTTTAGGGTTTAGGGTGTAAGATAATATTCTCCCATAACAAAGAACTTCCCCATCAAGGGTAGACTTGACTAGTTGTTTTTGCTAGTGCCTGTCGCTAGGTCATGCTTCCTGGCCACAAATGACAGTACTCTGTGCAAAGAAGGAGAATGTTGCGGATTGACGCTCAATCCCTGAAGACCCTGAAGTCTGCGAACTGCTAGGCAGACGAAGCCTAGTCAATATCAACCATTCTGGCATCTTTACATCGCTTCTGAAAGTTTTGGCGTCCTCCTTTACAAGCGACAGGCCCATGAGGCAAACCTGCACATCGCCATACATCCTGTTCTGGATCTCGTCTAAGACCTGCATGCCAGGCGGAAGGCCCGCTATTACAGGCCAATTGGGGGGACCACATAATGGTAAGAACGAGAACAGCAGTATTAATGATACGTCTGATAATGATAACAACAATATTCATGATAGCTATAAGCTCTTCCGGTTCAGCATGGCAAGTAGATTAACTTCACGCTTGCTTTTTGATGTAGAAGCGCATGCTGTGCACGCTACTGTCAACAAACGTACAGCTCGGGTGGATCGTATTGCATGGCCATAGAAACATTGTTGGCACAAGGAAATCTGCAGCTGTTTCAACCCCTAACCCGAAATCTCAACCACTTCTCATTCCGCAGTTGAGGGGGCTCATGCTTGAGACCCAAGACGCCTTGTGGGAACCCTTCACAATAAGCTCAGTATTCTTGCGCATACTATCCCAGACCCCTGGGAGGATCTAGAAAGTAGAACCCCCATTAGGGTACCCTATACTACTATTTGGTAATTCCTAGGAACCCTTCAGGGGGCTCTACTTTCTAGATCCTCCCAGGGGTCTGGGATTGAATAGACAAGCACTGCAGTTGCTGCAGCTCCAGCGGCGAGGATTCACGCAACACTACTGGGTTGATGTTAGGGAACTTCACTTAAGTTTCCATATTGAGGAAACGCTCTTCTTTACTATGTGTATATACCCATTATGGTAACTTAGACTAAGTTCCTTAACAGCAACCCAGACTACCACCACCGCGTTCCACCGTGGCTTCTTCGGCTTCTCAAATTTGCCATGCTGCCTCGACTGGACCAAGAGACGCGTTTCAGCATGTCGCTTAGCAACGGCATGGTAGTCATGCTTTAGGAGGACCCCCCTCCCTGTAATAGTGGTATAATAGGAATATAAGAGGACCCTAATATAATCCTTATTATCCATAATGGTCACTATTACTGGGTGGGGGGTCCACCTAAGTCATGCCCCTCAAATCCTTCTCAACCCTAAGGTTGCAGCCCGAAGCCAGAAAACATAAGATTTCTGCCATAATTTGCTATTCCCATTGCCAGTAACGGTTTGAGGTTTTAGGTTCTTTTTGTGCACTTGCTGAATTAGCAACCTTGACATTGTTCTCAGACTGTCGCTGCCGGGGAGGAAACCCCAAAATGGCGCAGCCCTTAAACGTACAACCATAGAAAACACAACCACAATCCTGAACACACGCCTGCTTGTCTTGAGTCGCCATAACCTAAACCCTGAATGACCACCCCTGACGACCCTGTTGAAGGACGGCATGTCGTTGGCCTGCCGCACAATGGATGCTTAAGGTATGCACACTACGAAGTACCACGATTGTTTTCTCCATAATGAACTATAATCACAATGTAGATGCCCTGGCCACAAACTCAGTGATTCCACCAAGCGCTTACGTCTACATGACCCTATATAGTCCCTTTTAAGGGGTCATATATATATATATATACATACACGCTCACACCTATATCACCGTATATGTTCCCTTTACAGTGGCTATATCGTAAGATGATATCAATAGGGAGACCCAAATATAGACCTCCACGTACTATAATCCTTCGTATGTGGACCCCCAAACAGGGACCCCGAACTTTGGGAAACCCTAAACCCTATATACCCCTATATATACCTATAACACCCTGTATTTGGGAAGCCCCCGTTACTTCCTTTAAAGGATCTATAGTTTGAGATTGCTGCAGACAATGTCGGAGTCCAGGCATAGGGTGCAGGATTTAGGCACGCGGTAGGGTTTAGGGTCAGATTTTAGGTTGTCAGGTGAGTAAGATTATATGGGTTTCCCAAAATTAAGGGTACCTTTCTGGGTTCCCTATAATAAGTATTATAGTATTTTGGGGAATGTAGTAGGTCATATGAGCTATAATCTTTTGTCTAGCTTCATGCCATTCATTTCCTCCTTTCTGGATTGCCTCTTGCTTTAATATTACAGGCTGTATACTGTGTATATATATATATATGTATATGCATTATCCAACTGTTGCTGGGTGGGGGCAGGACCCAACAAACATTCCAGATTGGTATACCGGTCCCTGGCTTTCTTCCTTGTTTATAAGGTTAAGTTCCACAAGGGTAGTTATTCAAATTAGGGTCCCATTTTGGTACCTTCAAAGGGGGATATATTTATATAGGGGTATATATGGTGAAGGGTTTAGGGTAGTTCCCAAAATTCGGGTCCTCATGCTAATACAAAACTATTCTCTGCCGTAATATACCCCATAACTAAAGGGGCCCATAGTTTTGAGAACCACCCATCTATGATGTTCCTGTTTTCTTGTCGTGTTTCTTCCTCAGGTTCTGTCTTTGCGTCTTTCATCTCTTCGCGGGCAGAGGACCAAGAGCATTTAAGAAGCATCGAAAAAAGACATTCGAGATTGGGGGATACTCTCCAGGAAACAATGCAGATTTTTTTGATGCTCGTCAAGTTCTGTTGATGCCTTACAGTCATTCTCATGAAGTTTGTGGAGCCTTTATCCCTTACAACAGGGTTACAAGCCGTATGAATTATAGCAATCATCAATAATCCCCTTTCGTGTTTTGTGAAGTCGAGTCCATGTCTAATTGATACTGAACCCGGCCAGCAGACTAAGCATGCGTCCTGCAAGCCCTGAACCACGCCCTAAAGCCAAAAACAATCATATTGCAAATTTCACATGCTAAATCCCAAGCCTACGTCTAGACCCACACGCAACTGAGCCTCAGCAAGAAATTGGGGAGTGAACCTACCCATGCTGTCGCTACAGTGCCAGCGAGCCCAAATGCAAAACCCGTACCTTGGACCTTGACTTACTAGGGGTTAGTAGGGAATATGGGAGTATATTATAGGGGGACTATATAAGGATTATATTCCCTTATTCCCTACGAACCACCAGTAAGTTGAATGGTAAGAGGATTTTGGCCATCCCAAACCCCAAAATGAGGATCTGAAATTCTTAGGGTCCTACTTCGGGGGTTGAAGGCCTAAACCTTAAACCTTGAGGTTTAGGGTTTAGGGACCCTAAACCCTTAAGATCCCTTCGTTATTGAAATGGGTCTCCTCCCCATCCGTCAGGGCCAGTATCAGCAACTGCTTGCCAGTGCGAGAAGGCGCAAGGTCCTGAAGCACCTTCCAAGTCATCTCGAAGGGGGGTTGATGTGGGGTTTAGGATGGTTTTGGGTTTAGGGCTCAGGGTTTAAGGTTCATAAAAAGTTTGGGGATATTGCCCCAGCAGTGCAGAATCAAATGTAAAAGAACATGGAAGATGAAATGGGAGCTGAACCTTTTTAGTGGTTTATAGAAAGTAGGATTTCCAAAGCTGATGGCCCATTTATCGGAGATACCCCCAGAAAGGATTGCATGTAACATTAGGGTCTATATCTGGAGCCCTCTTGTTGAAAGAAACCACCAATGTAATTTCAGGGCTAAAAAGCTAGGAGTTACGAGGGTTGGCTGGGGATGTGGGGGCTACGAAGGGGCAGAATATAAGTAACAAGGACGAGATAATGGGGTACAGGTTTTAGGGGGACATGGCGCCGGGTCACGAAGCACTTTGCATAAATAGCTTTTGGTCCAGCGGCGCCTGCTTTAACGTAACGTCCATCGGGGTCGCGCCCCGAGGAAATTGCTGAAAGATCTCCTCGACCTCTTCAGGGAACACAGGTGTCTTTACAGTTTACATACTCGCGGGGTGCCCAGTACAGGCACCCGCAAGGTCTCCATGTAGAAGGTTTGCTACGGCAATCTAGAGGTTTCCTCGTCAGGATTGAGGATTGTGCTTCCAAACCTATCATTTAGGCTGACCCTTTTTTGTGGACTGCCCTAAACCCTAAACCCTAAACCCTGTTACGTCTGGCATGCATTTCACGCATGCGAATTCAGTACGGTAGGTTATGTCGTCTCCCTCAGTTTGGGATGCAAGGCAGGGAGGTTAGGAAAGGTAACAGGAAAGCACCTGGGTTTAGGGTTTAGAGTTTAGGGGTAGGCTGGGCTTAGGATTTAAGGTTGGCATGAGGGAATGGAGCCGGATAGCAGGCCCAAATAAATGCCAAAATGATCCCTTCCCCTATTCCCAGCTGAGGGTTCATATCGATACAGGAAGTCATGCAGTACCTGGGGACATATGAGCCATAGTCTAAACTCCTAGTATCCCCCTTAATAACCCCTATAGTATTCCCTGATATAATCCCCTATATAACCCCTAAACCCTAATACCCCTAAACCCTATACCCTAGATAATCCCCTATATAACCCCCTTTAAGGAATTTAGACCCTAAACCCTAAACCCTATATAATCCCCTATATGACCCCCTTTTAAAGAGTTTTAAACTATAGCTCATATAGCTTTGCGGACCTTTACACTTCTCTTGGAAGCCCAATGTGTTGGGGATCAGTCGTAAGTCCCACAACCCTAAAACCCTCAGGGGTTTAGGGTTTAGGGTTTAGGGGTATTAGGGTTTAGGGTTTAGGGGTATTAGGGTTTAGGGTTTAGGGGTATTATTAGGGTTGAGGGGTATTAGGGTTTAGGGGTATTAGGGTTTAGGGGTATTAGGGTTTAGGGTTTAGGGGTATTGGGGTTTAGGGTTTAAGGGTATTAGGGTTTAGGGGTATTAGGGTTTAGGGTTTAGGGGTATTAGGGTTTAGGGTTTAGGGGTATTAGGGTTTAGGGGTATTAGGGTTTAGGGGTATTAGGGTGTAGGGGTATTAGGGTTTAGGTTTAGGGGTATTAGGGTTTAGGGGTATTAGGGTATTAGGTTTTAGGGGTATTAACCCTCAACCTTAAAACCCTGAGCCCTAAGCGTGTGTGCTAGGTAGGGGACTCCATTTTCAAGCGGCTGAGGCTTTGCATGGAGGCTTTTGGGTATGTAGTGATGGGATCATGCTTATTACATGTAACATGTGCATGGCCAACGCATGGCATGGGGCCAGATGCTCCGGAAGCCCTGGCTGCGTTGTAGACACCACACCTTGCAACCCAAACCCTCCGTTGATATGGTTTAGGTAGGGTTTACGGATGGGGTTTAGGTA